ACCACCAGTCACAGTTACGGACGGGCATTTACAGAGGCCGGCGGTGCACGCCCCATAGGCTCGAGGCTGGTGCCCAGTCACTTGGATTCTCACTCACGTGACGTGCCAAGTTTGCTCGGGAAGAAGTGAACACCTAACACGGGGCGGCTGTTTCATGCGTGTATGGAGGTACGCATGACACGCTAAAGCAGCTAAGCAGCGTTATTTTGGTAACACGTCGGGACCAAGCTGTGGGATAATTCGGAGAGCTTGAATGGTGGGGTCAAAGTCAACACAACAGGCCAGGCCTGGCGAGGGCCTTGAACTCAACACCACTCGAATAATCAGTTGATAAGACTAAGTTTTGATAGAGGGAGAAAAAAGGAGAGAGACGTTTATACACATCATATATTTACGTTACACACATATATATATATATATATATATATATATATATATATATATATATATATATATATATTTAAATGGCCTATGTAGGCAGCAGATTATCTTCCATACAAGTGCATCTACGTCAATATCTTTAACTGCACTAATATATATATATATATATATATATATATATATATATATATATATGTATATATATATATACACGCATATATATATACATATATATATGTATATATATATATCTCCTCTCGCGATATCACCCGCTTAACGCGCGCGTGCCATGTTAGTACAACCTTTTATCAGACGATCACGTCGCAGCAGGCAAGGACGGGCGCAAATAGCCAAGAACATGACGTGCCCTAAACCCCGAGCGACACAGGGGCCGGAAGCGACCGCGGCAATCGGTCGAGTGTCGCGCTGTAACGCCACGCTCACCCTGCAGCCTTGGCCTTGTGGTGAGTAATCGCGCTTCGGGACCGCAGGGCTCCAGTTCCGGCGGTGTCGGAGCGGCCGGTGGCCGGTCCGCGGCGGGCTGTTCCGTTCTGCTGGCGGGGGGGGGGGGGGGGGGACGCGGTGTTGCCTTTGGCAGGGTCGATGGTCAGGAATGCCCCCAGGGAGTGGAAGCCGTGGGAAAGCGCGCGCTGAATGGCATTTGTTCACGCGGCGTCAGAGCTGCGTTCCCGCCGCGACGAAAGGTCTCGTCGTTGGGAAAATGAAGGAAAATAATTCGAGAACAAGGCTTTTGGTAGTCTTGTTTGCATCGTAGTTATGATGCATTAATATATCTTAGTCATCATGTATTATTTTTGTATTTATTTACGTAGTCTGTATCATCATGAATTTATTGCATGCATCGTAGTACTATTTTTTTCTTGCTAGTATTTGCAATCCGCTTGCGGCCGTGAACTGTCACTGGCCTCTGGACTGAACAGCGTGGGAAAACAGCAACTGTTTGGCCCGCGAACCCGCATGATTCAGACAACCTCCCGGCCTTCACATGGACAATATAATGCTTGACAAGTCATCATTACACTTAGGACGTGTTGCGGTCTTCCGTTTTACGGTAGCCGTTATTATTAGGACGTGGTAAGGTGCTGAAAATATTTTCTCGGGTGGGATTGTCTGGCACCTGCATCACACACAAAAGAATGTTTAGCTATATTGCGTAACGCTACCTCAAGTTGTTTACCTAAGTTGCTTTGCGCACTTATTTTGGCAGAGACGCAGACACAAGTTGGCAAACGCATGTCGATATGAGCAGGCAATGACGCTATTAAAACACTTGTGTTGCTGCTCGCAAGTAATTTGCTGGTTTCCTTTCCCTTCTGCCGCTAACAGCATATAATAGGGACTAAGTTCCCGCGAGTTATACAAAAAAATTAGGGCGCAGTAACTCGTTGAATCCCACGATACTCCAATAACAAACGCTCATCATCCAATAAAAAAGCGTTTCCATCTTCGTCTCGTTGGGTGTTGGTGGTAACCGCCTCCGGCGAAGCCGGTGACCTTACAGATAATTCCCCGATAATTCGACCTTGTGAGATATGGATTGTTCCGGCGGAGACAACCTCCAGTCATCACCACAGATCGATTACAGTTATTGTGGTTCCGTCGCTGTGGCCCGAGGCCGTGTACACACAACTGGCTATTACCTTCACTTTTTCTGTCACAATATTAACCTGGTATTGGTGCGAAGATGGGTCGGTCTGTTTGGGGTTAAGTGGACAGCCCGGGCTGGGTCTAACTTGGGCTGGACTTCCTTTGATCTGAGTACAGGACAAGTCAAAGGCCCTGATCCTACCTCCGCTAGCGCTGATACTTCGTGCGTTTGGAGCTTAATACAAATGACAATAAATACAACGTGATATGATAGAATACATAACTAAATTTGATATACAGGAGTTCCAATCAGGAGCGCATGAATATTTTAATGCAAGGCATTTTGAATACTGATGGTGACAATCATGACGCCGATAACAATGAATTACTCTCAAAATGCGACAAGATGACTAAGAAAAAAAGGACTAAGAAGTGCCAGAATGCAAAACACCATCTCAAAATTTCCGCTTCATTGCATCGAATCTTATAATGTGATTTGTCTTATCTGCTCTTCTTAAAAACAAATCCTCTGGTGACACAAATCGTGCGATGTTGGGACACACCCATTGTCCCCATTCAGGGGCGCGGGCAAGGGAGCACTGTGTGCCCTGAATAACTTCGTGGGACCGAGGATCGAAGGCCAGTTAAAAGGGCTGACCGTGTCGCAATAAGGACGACAGCTAGGGCTGGTCCCTCAAATGTCAGCCAGAGAGCCCCTTGCACTGATTGGGGGAGGGAGGAGCGGGAGGGGGAGGCCGATTGCGAGCTTCTATGTGGGCCAGAGACCATCAACGCCAGTCAGCCACGTGTCGGTCTGAGTCCTGACACCCATTGGTCCTGCAGAGACAAGACCGGGGCCCGCGCATTACGCTGGTTTGTGCCATATAAACAATGAGCGGCCTATTTGTCGGTCAGGGGCCCAAAGTGTGTGACAGATGCCCTGGGGGGGGGGGAGGGGGGCGTATCAGGCGCCCCGTGTCTGCGAGGGTCCCGAGCCAACCAGGGGCCCATTTTCTGAACGAGGACAGGGACGGGACCCCTGCGTTGATCGGGGGGGGGGGGGATGGGGGTCTCTTGGGTTGGCCGGGCCCTCTGATAATGAAAGGGCTTATTGGAACTTACGATGAGAGTCCACAATACGACAATGGAAAGGCTTCGTGCAAGTCTAAAGCCCCAGTACCGAACGAGAGGCCCTTTAACGAATTTCATCCAGGGGCCTGGTAAGTCGAACCAGCCTTCCTGCGCCGATCAGTGAGATGCCCTGGCGCTGTGACATTTTTGAGTCAACGTGGACCTTGAAGTGATTATTTCACTACCCATCTCGGAATTAGGGATCCGATTACTTGATTGAGAATTACCCCAGGCGTACATGGGCTGGCCAAATGAAAACAACTTTGGCCCCATTTCTGTTAACAATCATGATGAAATTCACGGGGTCCTTAAGATCTCTGTAGAACCGAGACAGACTTCGACAAATTGTCGTTTTTTCTTTCTGTTCATGTCGCTTTAGGAAACGTCAATTGAACCATTGTGCAAAGGAACAGCGCCGGCGGCTAAATCTATGCGGTCATTTATGCATTTTCTTAAGTTATTGACGTTCCAATGCGAACCGAATCGTGTATTCCGGTGGCTTTGACTTGTTTGAGAAAAAAGGCACAAAGATAAAACGAAAAAATCGTTTCTCTCGAAAACAACTAAAAAATCACGATAATTTCATTTTGCGGTCTGTTTGCAATTCCATTTCACGGTCCTCCACCAGCACGGAACCACGTGCAAATTCAGTGCCCTTTCTTTACCGGGACTTCGGCTGAGCCTCTCCCATTAGCGCTGCGAATGCCGAAGCCCAGGGCCTAAGGCCTGTCTTAATCGCATGAAGATTATAATTGTGCCTGCCTTGAACCTCAGCTCGCCTCCTGTGAGCAGCGGCGCCGGGAATGGCGCATGGTTATTTATCAGCGCGCCTCACTGCCGAGGTTGCTGGCGGCGCAGCGTCCCTCGACAGCTGCCACGGGGCTGGTATCACTGAAATGCTGAGTTGAAATGTAGACATTTCGATCATGGGTGACTATGACTGTTACGTCACAAACGACACCACTGTAGGGACAGTTTTACCGTGCCAACGCCTTGCGTTGCAACGTGAGCAGTCTCCCATACCAAAACCTCGCGCTGTTTATCAACCACGATACACGCCTTAGCTTCCGGCGTTGTCTTTCCGTAAGTCCGAGCTTCCGGCGCTGGTTTCTAACACGTCAAAACTTCCGGCGCTAGTTTATAATACGTCGAAACTTCCGGTGCTGGTTGCCAGTGGAAACTTTCGGTGCTGGTTTCCTGTCGAAATTTCCGCTGCTGGTTTCCAGTGCAATTTTCCTGTGCTGGATTCCAGTGAAAACTTCGGTGCTGGTTTCCAGTAAAAACTTCGGCGCTGGTTTCCAGTGTATGCCAGCCCTCAGTGTTTGTTTCCAATATGTCCGAACTTCATGCTGTATTATATCCTGAAGTAATTAATTTCCGGCATGCCTGTGCATTCCAGCGTGTCTTCACCTCCACTTGCCGTTCCCAGTTTGTCTGAACTTCGGCGATTTAGCTTTCGGAATGACTGCGCCGCCTGCGTTCATTACCAGCATGTTCAAGAACTTTGGACGCCGATTTTGACGATTTCTGTATGTTTGATGCGTATTTTGCACGTGCCATTGTACTCGGTGCTGTTCTCCTAAGGGATTTGTGACGGGTTCTCGTCATATGTGTCTGATCTTTTAGGGGGAATTGAGTTTCAGATGTTTCTGAGGGCTTACTAACACCTGAGTCTTCATGAGTTTCGGAATTGTTTGGGCCTGCTTCCAGCCTTTCTCGGTCAAAAGGCGGTACGCCTGATGGTGCTCTCTGCATGCGTATACATACCTCTGTGTGTATGCGTGCACATGCCATGCGCGTACATGTACATGCCTCCGTTGCTGAGTTTTAGCATTACGTTTTGCACGTGGCTAATTTGTCAGCGCTGTTCTCGTCGACAGAGGCGAAATCGGTCGGCACTAGCAGGCGTTCTGCTGACCTGTCTCCACCTCAGCTGCCAGGAGAGCGCAGAACGAGGGCCATTCCACGGCTTCCTGCCGCAGTACAAGCTCAGGTACGACAGCACGCCAGGGGCGCACCCACGGACAGGTTGGGGGGGGGGGGGGCTGGGGTATGATGGCACACGAGTGTCAGCCCGGTTTTACGTTTTGAGCAATGCGTTTGGATGCTAGTTTTGACAAGAAAGAGAAAAAGCATGGAGGGGGGGGGGGCTTGTTTTTGTTCTTTGTCAGTGAGGGGGGAATGTGGCCTCGCTGTCCTCCAATTGTCTTCGGCACACGTCTTTAGCTTCCACACTGGCGAAGAAGCCATCGCTGTAAATGTGTGGCTACGCATGGGGGATGTTGCATCTTTGAAACAATGCTCCGACAAATGCCATTGATTAACTTACCATCCATGATTGACCGACATAATTGCCATAACTTACTGGTATACATAAAGCAAGTGGACATTTATATTATCGCCTATATATCGATCCATAACCTAAAAAGATCTTAAACTCCTACCTCAGCGACAGAAGCCGAGCGGTCAGTTATTCTAAAACAAACGCAAACACTGACTGATAAACGGGGCAAAAATGGGTTGTGTCGCAATCACGACGAATTACAAAATGGCACAGCCGAGCGCAGCTGGTATACACACCGTTACACATTTGGTCAGCTTGTCATACTATACTCTATAAAAAAAGAAGTGCAACAACAACTTATCCTGTCATGCGACGCAATTTATCACAGGCTGGGACGGTTTGTCTCATTTGAAATGGTTTATTCAGAAGCCCTTTGCACAAAAGCAAGACTTGGTCGCCAAAACTGTGCTGCTACATATGAAGCTGAAGGCTACAGCTGTCAGCAGATATAATAGCATGTCCTCAGTAGTTACGGTAGAGGAGCGTTCAGAGCAAAACTTGATACAACTCCCCCAACTCTCCCCTACTTGGGGTATTTGACGATTGTATACGTCACAATTCACGACGAGGGGTCTATGTTAAACACAAAATTTGCAAAACCGTTTCATTTTGCGCACGCCATGAAGGGCGTCCGATCTCAAATGCAGGACGTCGCGCGTATTTATTGTCAGGTAAAACATTACTGAAATAGTCTTCAGATATACCGCTGTTTGAAATGCAATTCAATCTTCCACTCATTTGTGGCTTGTGGCAGTAAGACAGTTATCATTTAATCGCTGTCGAGGTCGCCCTTTGACCCCGCTTCCGTTGCCAGCCTCACATGGACGGAGGGACATCTGAGAAACTGGGGTGGCAATACCAATCATGAAGTCGGTTCTTTCCATGTGCCGCAGAAGGGTCAATGCTCAGCATTCTCGGAACGCTGAGGTGCCACGGCACCTACGGACCTCCGTTCCCACGCCCATGCAGTCTCGCACACCCTCTGACAGCGTGCCCTGTCCGCAGGGCCAACGCCCCGACAGGGGACGACCACCCGAACGACGACCAACCTAACCTAACCTAACCTAACCTAACCTAACCTAACCTAACCTAACCTAACCTAACCTAACCTAACCTAGGTGGTCCGTAGGTGCTACGGCACCTACGGACCTCCGTTCCCACGCCCATGCAGTTCTCGCACACCCTCTGACAGTGTGCCCTGTCCGCAGGGCCAACGCCCCCGGCCAGGGGACGACCACCCGAACGACGTGTACTACGAATCGCGACCAAAGCCGAAGCCGGTGCCGGACGGTTTCCAGATCCGCTATCCCAACTACAAGTTCGCCTTCGACATCCCGAAGGACCCGGAGCACTCGGTGTACGTCATCGCCGCCAAGAACGCCGCTGAACCGTCCGGGCATGGTCCACCAACGGACACCACGGACACCACGGACACCACGGACACCACCACCACGGCGATGAGGGCCACCAGGGCGATCAGGCGCACCACGCGACGACGGCCGCGCCGACAGTCAGCGTGAGCGCCGCGTCAGCATCGGACGGTACGGTGCTTGCCGTCTGTCGCGGCGGTGCTGCCCCCTGCGCCAACGATGGCGGCGCGGCCGCGGCCGCTGGTGAGCGTGGCCGGTGCGACGGTGCTGCCAGCCGCCCCGACTGCAGCGGCGACAGCCGCGAGCACGGCAGGACCGGAGCACAGGAGCACGATGGGGATGGTGGGGGCTACGCCCACCGCGGCGGCGTCACCGCCGCCCAGTCTGCCGCCGACGGCCGCATCACCGGGCTCGACGGTCCGAGCCCCGCCCACAATGGCAGGAGCTCCGCCCACGGCGGGTGGCGCTCCGCGCTCAACTGGCGGCACTGTGCCCCCGATGGGACGGACCTTGCCGCCGCGTCCTTTCAGGCCACCGTTTCCGGTGACGGGTCGTTTCCGGCGGCCGCCGAGCGGCCCGCGCGTCCCCCGACCCCACCCCTCGTTTGCCCCGCCCCACCCCTCGTTCGCCCCACCCCGTCCCTCGTTCGCCCCGCCCCGTCCCTCGCTCACCCCGCCCCGCTTGCGCGCGCCGAGGCCGCACTCACCCGTGCAGGCTCCGCCCACGGTCCAACCGACGGGCAGCGTGCCGCCAACGCCATCTGTGTTCGACCGGCTGAAGGCGAACCGCCGGAAGTACCCGGCTGAGCAGTATCGGGTATTCCCCGGCGGTTATGTCAGACTTTCAACATATTCGTCGCTATCAGGATGAGCTGTGTGAGTATTGTTTATAAGCCGGTAACAGCACCATGATAATCACTACTTCTGGCTACTTGCGAATTGGCGGTCATCGGAGGCCTTCTGATGACCTTGGTCTAATGGCGGTCGTCTGAGACCTGTCACCCGGCCTGTTCATGAACACGATCCGTGCGTACAATCAAGTTAGGTTGTCAGTCACGTCAGCTGGTCATTTGCTGACTGGTATTCGGAGTAAGTTAATATGGTCCGCTCATAATATTTATACTTGTATCTCCACACGAACAATTCCGTAGTATATCCCCTAAGGGCCTCACCGGTCTGAACTAATGCAATAACACATGTGTTTTCAAAGTCATATGATGGGTGCAACATGTCACTAGCGTCGCAAAATATTTGTGAAGCGACTGACTGATCGTGCGGTACGTTTCATTGCATTTCTGGTTTCGTGTGCATTCTTGTTCCACGGCTAGACGGTTGAAGCAGTGAGAGTATTTATCTGCGCGGTTGATCTGCGGTATGTCAGTGCTGGTGCGTGCAGGATGTGTTCTGTCAGTGTGTGTTCAAAGGGTGCGTGATATATGTTTGCCTCGTACCCTACCGTGTTATGAATACACGAATGGTTTAACTACGATATAAATCGCTTTTCATCGTACCAAACCTCCATCCATTTCGTCGCTTTGGAAACCTGTCAACCTAACGAAATATTTCAAACATTTTTGTAAGAAATTTATCAAACGAAGCACGTAACAGCATAGCAAAAACATCAAACATTAACCATAACTATGGCAGAATACAACTCGACGAAGCAAGGAAGACTGGGTTTGTCGGCCAGGAGGAAGACATTTCCGGCACACCAACCGTTGTTATCTTACTGGGGACCAATTGAGCTCAACATCATCTAATTGCTTCGGTGAATTCTGACCAGCAAAATACGCAAAATACGGCATGGAGAGAATAAACTGTCATCTCTGTTCCGTCGCAGCCCAGTGAACAATAGCACAACACACGCGGTGAGACAGCGAAAAGGTACTGGCCATACTGTGGAATTCACGTTTGATCATTACAATTCCTCAAGTCCGCAACTTAAGCACACACTTTAAATTGATGGATTTCTGGGATCACAGCCGTCTGAGTAAGGCATGTTTTCTGGGCAATCCCGGCGTTAAGGAACTCCCAACGCAGCCAAGCTGGAACCGCTGCTCCGTGCATTTCCAGACGTGTGCGGCGTCGCGCCAAACCAGGGCCACGGCACATCCCTGACCGCCACACTCTAGCGATAGCTCTCTCGCACCGGTGGTCGGCTCGTGTGGGGTGGACACCGCCGGCACCGGCAGACCCAGCCCGATGCAGGGGAGTGGTGGACACCACCGACCGGCCGCCGGGGGGGGGGGGGGGGGAAGGGGGGGGGGAGGTAGTAACCGCACCTCTCGACAGGAGCGACCGCAGACATCGCGCACTGTCACCTCCCCGGGGGCCCATTGTTCAGAGCGGGCCAATAGCTTACTGTTTTTCAATCGCACTGTGTAACCTTCAGAGCTATGAACTAGCCGGTATGACCGATTTACCTCCTCGGTTTTCCCCCACTCACCAATGACTATAAGTTAAATCCTTTATTGATGTGGACCTCCTGTCATCCGCCTAAGCACACGGCATGACTCATGCGCAAACCGCAGTTGCACACAGTGAAGCTTGCCGGCGGCGGTGAGCGCTCCTCGCTCGCCGCGGCGCTGGGCCGCGCGGGTAGGCCGCCAGAGGTAAGCACGGTTACAGGAGCGGCGGGGCGCGCCAAGACCGGTGACTCACTCCGCCGGCTGACGTGTCCCCCCCCCCCCCGCCCCCCGGCTGGAGGGAGTGCCGGGAGGAGCGCGCGGAGTCTGCGTCACGGTAGTCCGAGATGTCAGATTAAAGCGGATTGGTTGGGGCCTGAGGGGCCGGCCGACACCACAGGAAAGAGCTTTGATGGAGTTCGCGCAGTTTTCCTTCCAGTAACTTGTTCAAAATTCCGCTTAAGTGCATAGCAAAACCTGTATTATCTACTTCCTCCGTGTCTTGGGCTGTACAAGAGAGAAACAGTCAAACCCAGGGCCGCATCTTAACGCGGAGACGCCGGCCACAGTTTCAGAAGCCACGAGCCAGCACTACCAGGTGTCTGCCCAAAACGATACGGACGCGCGGCATGGTGTGCTGTAACGCTCAACAGCGTTTTTCCGTCCGATAACACGTGCACAGACCGAAGGGTATCTGGCAGCACGTATCGTTGCCCGGCATTGCACAAAAGAATGCCTGCAGAAATAGTTCCCCCCCGTCAGTAGGAAAACGTCATGACACAAACCCCAACAGGCGCCTTTTGAACGCCACTACAACACCGTGCCCACCACGGCCACTTTTCTCATAATAAAGCTAGACCCGGCGAGCTTACAGTCCCGTCCAAGGTCACAATGAGGCGACAGCACAGCTCACAAAAGGTCACAAAAGGTCAGCCGGTCACCGGCCAGGTCCTGAACAGCTCCCGTCGCTCGGCGTAAAAACAGGCGAACGGAGACCCACCCAGATGTAACGTCAGAGCGAGCTGAACACGGCCACAAAACACTCCGTTCAGACAGCCAGTTTTGATGCCTGGTCAGGCCCGCCGGCCCGGCATATCACGGTTCGGCGAGTGCGGACGGCCGGGCCGGTCTTCGCAACGTCAGCTCTATCACGCTACGCCGCGTCACACGGCGTGACGTTATTCCCGTCACGCGCGGGCGACGTGACGCGCGTCACACCGCGACTGACCACCCGCGTCACCAAAACGGCGCGCCGCGCGACGGCGACACCATCACGAAGGTCACAACCGAATGACACCGCGCGCGCGGGCCGCGTCACACCGAGTGACGTCACACCAAGTGACGTCACCGCTGGGAGGGCCGCATTAGATCACTTGCGGCGGCGCGCGCCGCCACCACCGTAACAGCAGGCTCCCGGCCACGTCACGAGGCGTCACGAAGCGCCACGAAGCGTCACGGAGCGCACCGGGCAGCTCACCGGGCGTCGGGGCCGGCCGGCGCGGCCGGCGGCGGGAAGCCGGGGCTCACAGGGAGCCCACCCCCGTTGCTGGCGGCCAGCTGTTGTTGCTGCTGTTGCTGCTGCTGCTGCTGTTGCTGCTGTTGCTGCTGTTGCTGCTGTTGTTGCTGTTGCTGCTGCTGTTCCTTGGCGGTCAGTCGGTCGATGAGCTCCTGAAGCGGAGCCAGCTCTCGCCGGTCGATCAGGTTGAACTCCTGTCGGTCAGCCGATGCTGCAAGGTTAGGAGCGAGCACCAGAAGTCCCGATTCGAATCCCGTCACTGAAAACCTCTGCCATCCGCGCCTTTTCCGAGGGGTTTGCGGTGTCCATGTGCTAAGCAGTTGAGTGCATTGGTAACTAATGCTGGAGCACGTCATCGCGGCAGGTTCACAGACTACAGGGGAAAATGCGCGGTGCAAACAGTTGCTGACCTATCACGCCCTGGATTGAAAGAGTGATCCTGGTTTGCACACCGTGCACCGCACACATACGCTTCAGTGGAGTCATTCTCTCACACAGAGCAGGAGGTTCGGTCCACATGGCCATAACAGCTGCACGCATCGTCAAACGACCTCGCGACACCCGTGGATTAAACAGCCCGCGCACTGCGCCTGCGCAGCGGACGGACCACATCCATATACGAGCACAATGTCACATCTCAGTATCATCACACGAACACACGCCTGCATGACGAGAACATCCTCCCAGCGTGAGCACAGGCCATGACCAACAACGCTGAACATGCACGAGACCACGGCGGCGCAACGAGGTTGGTCTTCCGCAGCCATGCGCTTGGTGACTTCATGACGGCGGGTCGCGGTCGGTCATGAGTCAGAGTCTTGGCTTGGTGACTTCACGACGGCGGGTCGCGGTTGGTCATGAGTCATAGTCTTGTGCTTGGTGACTTCACGGACGGCGGGTTCGCGGTCGGTCATGAGTCAGAGTCATTGTGCTTGGTGACTTCACGACGGCGGGGTCGCGGTTGGTCGCGGAGTCAGAGTGGCACGTTACTGCGTGCGGTCGTTCACAGTCGACGAAGGAAACGGCGACGACGAAGCGCGTCGCCAGGTCATCAGACGCGCTAGTTTTGTACTCCATCGTCTACCGCTTCTGGGTTCAGCTTCCTTCAGCTTCCTCTCACGGGAGGCGGGAAGGTCCCCGTCAGGGGAGCCACCGCAAAATCAGTGCACCACCCACGCACCACCCTGGTGCCCGCCACTCCTGACCCACTGCACGAAGAAGATGAAGTGCTTGAAGCTGGTGTTGAGGTGCGCCTCCTCGCGCAGCTTCACCACCTCGTGGAAGTGCTGGTGGTAGATGTGGGCGTATACGCGGAACAATCGCTTCAAAATCGTCTTGGCGATCTGCGAGAAGTTCTTGGGAAACGGCACGCCTGCTCGAGAGAGGGGAGGAGGGGCGTCAGAGGGTGTGAGGGGCATCAGAGGGGAGGAGGGGCGTCAGAGGGTGTGAGGGGCATCAGAGGGGAGGAGGGGCGTCAGAGGGCGCGAGGGGCGTCTTCTCAGTGGGTAGAGCGGCCGCGGCGGGTGACAGGCGGGCAGAAAAACACACGGCAACGGCGAACGAAGAGATGAGGGAGGACGGACGATCAGGAAGCGGGAACAAAACGCAGACGAGCGGAAGTCAGAAATAAAACAAGGCGCCATAGACAATAAAAAGGCAACAAGTACGCGCGGAATAAAAAAACAAAACAAAAACGAAATGTACAGACAGGCTGACAGATACATATGTGACCATACACTGATGCACAGGTGACTGACACATCCCATTTCGTGAGCAGACACCAAGGCTATTCAACATCATGTATGGCAGCGAAATGATTGCGAGCATTAAGCCGCGCCAGCCGGCCAGAACCGAGCGAACATGCCGGGAAGGACCGCCAACCACAGCCCACCGCCCACCTATCTTGCTGGGGAAGGTGGTCTCGTCGTCCAGCTGATCCTGGGCCCACGTCATCAGGTAGTCGATGTACTTGGGTGCCGAGCACTTGATGGGCTTCTTTACGGTCTGGCCGTCCGCCCAGTGGTACTCATACTTTGGACCTGGGGACACGCGTTACGCACGGTGCGTGAGCGGTGCTCAAGCTAGGCGTCCGGGGACGCGCATTACGTTCGGTGCGCGCGTAGTGGTGCTCAAACTTGGAACCCAGGGACATCAGCGCTGACTGCGTACTGTGCGCACATTCGCCCCGTGGTATTCATATTTGGAGGCACTGGGACGCGGAAACGGTACGCCATCCTGCCGTCCACCAGCTGCACTTATAGTCAAGGTCAACGGAGCCAGTATGCCAACTCCGCCCATACGCCACAGAACAACACATCATGATCAGGTATGAAGGGAATGGATGTCCACAAAACACAAGTCACTGCTGTTATGCATCGCGGATTGGAAGACACCATGCATACACTTTACCACCGATGGGTTAGCCTGGTAACTTTCAGGCAGGTAGGCGCTCTGTCTCGCTTGTGCGAAATAGAATGAAAGTCGCATGAGCCACCGAGATCTCGGCGTGCAATCCACGGGTCTTCAAAGTGTGGTATTCCCTCCAATCGGACTATTTCACACACAAAATAATAGTCTCGGAATCCTGCGTTTCCACCCCACCGACCGTCATCCCCCACCTCCCTGTTCTGGAGCGGCATCATGTCCGAGTCCTAGCAGCATCATGTCCTACCTGCTGACATGACAGGACACGTCTCCTCCGTGCAGAACTCGGTGATGGTGCCGTACAGCATGTTGATCTGGTTGAAGAAGTCCACCGCTGCCAGGCGCGGACACGCATCAGTGCCGATCAGAGGACGTGGTAGCTCAGTGGGACGACAGATTGATGGACGCCACAGATCCAGCGCCGCCGGGGGCAGCTGGACAGAACCTGACACAGGGGCGGCTGGCCCTGCGGCGCTGCGGAGTTCTCGCGCGATACACAGACAATAACGGGGCTAGTGGTGAAGCTCTCGCATGGATCTGCCCCCACCAGCTCGGTGTGTGTTTCTATCCACCGCCCCAGCTCAACAGTCACTCTTGATCACGTGTCCTCCCAGCCAATCCTCACCAACCGCTCCCCGACTGACCCACCCGATATCCGCTGCTGCCCCTGAGGAACTCCCGGCATTGCCCGCACACGCTGTACTCAACTGATCAAGTACTCACTGTAATAATGACAGTGCTCAACACCGAGTTCCTACGCACCATGCCACATCATGCAGCACTTCCCATCAAGCACTCTCTCAGCCAGGTGGAGCACAACACAGCACTGACGGTTCTCATCGCCTGCCGCCCGGGTATTCACTACTGACCCCTGTGTGGCCAGTAAGTACTCAGTGCTGACTTCCGTCTACCACGTCAGTACGCAACACTAGGCTCCTGTCCACACAGCCAATATTGAACCCTGTGCTCCTGTTAACAACGCCAATATTGAACCCTGTGCTCCTGTTAAAAATGCCAATATTGAACCCCATGCTCCTGATCGTACAGCTAATATTTAACACAACACTCATGTCTGTCTAGCCATCACTAATACTATGCTTCTGTTTATGCAGCCAATACTAAACCCTACACTCCTGTTTATGCACCCAATGCTCAACACTGAGTTCCTGTTGATGCAGCTAATACTCAAACACTGAGTGCCTGTTTACCAGGCCGGTGTTCCCCGGCGGTCAAACCCTCCCCCCCCCCCCCCCCCAGGCCAGTACTCACTGTTGACGGCCACCCACTCGTTGAGGTCCTCGCCCTCGGGCAGCTGCACGGCCAGGCGCAGGTTGCCCGAGCCGAGCGTGGCCGCCGCGTGCTTCATCAGGTCGTACTGGTGCGTGCCCTCGGCGATGTTCTTCTTCGGCTTGAACGTCTTGTTCGAGCGGCCCCCGCTGCCGACAGCCGGTGATGTGAGGAGTCACATGCGATGCCGGGGGGGGGGGGGGGGCACCAGGCGGGCGGGCCGGGTGTGGGCGTGTGGGCGTCACATGGGGTGGAAGCAGGTACAGGTGGACAATAGGGTGGTCATCTGGTGATGATGATGATGATTTGGGCTTTGGGGTGCACCGACTATGTTGGTTACATGGCGCCCATAGGGTGGTCATCTCAATAGTGTCATCTGGATACTGGAAGTTGTACTAAGTATGATTGTGTGCTACAACAACATAATAACCTGAAGAGCTAACACAAGTTTTATAGAAACAACAGCCAGTCTAACCTCCAGTAGGGGAATCACCCACGACTTAACACCCTTTCATTTTATGTGACGTGGAACACAGTTAGGGGGTCAGAATAAGACATGTTGTGACTTCAAAAATAATGCCTGCTCCTGTGGCCATCACATAGGGGAGCAGAAGCAGTGCTGACAGCTAGTTCCTGCTTCATTGGAAGAAAGCAAGGCGCCATTGGCTCACAGGCTGACTACTGGGGACCAATGTGGATCTGTTTACATACACAGATGCAACTACATGGTGAAATATATTTCAGGAAGGGGCAACTGCCACTCCTACTACTGCTCTCAAAAAGTAGTGGTGAAGTGGTAGGATGTGGATAGGAGCAAAATAGAGAGGATGAAGAGAAATATGCTCCACAAGGCACACAAAGATGAGAAAATATAGGCTAATTTTTGCACAAAAATCACAGTATTGGTAGTCATGAACCAATGACATTATGTTAAAATAACAGTGGGCTTGAATTCAAGTTAGGGGATTGTCACAATCTGTGGACTGATGGTGATAATGGTGGAAATAGGTCATGTTTGGTGTTATTCAGACAAAACTGAAGGTAGATTATATCAGGCCACCTATCAGCTGTATGTACTATTTAGGATTGTGCCAGCCCATTCCATGAATCCTCCCAAAACAATGATGGGAAGTGGTATAAGCTGCTCACTACCAAGAACAATTACGAGCCATGCACGTCAAACGACATTGAAACGATGGGCTTGAAATGGAAAAATGTGTTCGTTTGTTGGCAGATGTTCTTTAATGTTTAATGGAAAAGGTGCTGCCATCTTAATTTTACTACAAAAAACTTCCAACAGTGGAAGGATTATGCAAGAGATACATGATATCAGACATTAGATATCAGACAAGAATATCATTGAAGGAACAAGGCACAGGGATTTCTGAGGTGTGCCATTTCTAAGCGAAGATATACGAAGTTTTAGTTTCCTACAACACAAATGATATACCTTATTTACTAACAGAGGTTTACCATGATCTTTAGTAATGATGACTTTCTTCTACAACAATGATAATGGGGCAAATGTACCTAACACTTCAATGTCAGATATAGGTCTGCAGTGGCATTGCAGTGGGATTTACATAACTTTGCTAATACTTAAAAAATGGTAATGCTAGACTGTGGGATACTATCTAAGACAAATGAACCAAGAGTCTCAAATTATTGCACACCAGCAACATTCTGGAATAGCAAGAAAAACAGTCATTGCCCTTTTCACTCATTGCAGCTGTCATTAATCTGCATGTGTTATGACAATCATGATAACTGAGGCAGCTGTGTGGATCTTAAGGTACTTTTGGAACTGCCAGAAAATTCACCATTTTGCACAATAATTCCCTGCGTTGGCAATACCAAACAAAACACCCATTTCCCTACATTCCAGCTAATTCTCATATGCTGTAAGCTCACTGAACAGACATTAGGTCTAGAGGTGCATAGAAGCATACAGAACAAGGATGATGATGAAATAAAATGCTGAAAAACTTTCCTAGACTAAATATGCATGCTAGATTAGGGCAGGACTGGCATCTGGAACCAGAAGGCCCAAATCCATACTTACAAAAAGAAACTCATGATGATGCGTGGATGTCTCTGTTGCCAAGCGCTGGCCAGACCCCAAATCTTGTAATATCCACAACACTGCTCAACGCTACAGCCCCAACCTGAAGCCCAGAATGATAATGGAAGGTCGGAGCTGATCCTATTGTCCAGCCAACAAAGACGCCGAAAGTGTTGGCCCTCTAAAGATTCGTTACTTTCAGAAGTCGACTCTCTCAGACGTCAACAATCAATTCGGCGACTAGCTTGAACTGTTGGAAAAGTGCTTGAATAAGGCCACAATGGAAATTCCCTCTCACAAGGCAGGGTAATCCCCTATTCTCGCGGGGTTAGCGCGACACCCATCCACAGAACGGTACGCAACTTGCTCCCGCTGCAGTTTGTTGTCCTCATTCTCGCGTCGGCTCCAATCAAGAGTGATGAAAAAGATTTCAGCTGATCATCAGCATGGTGTCATACATCGTTGCCAGAGAAATTACAAAACCACTGTATTTTGATAAACATCGATAAAAATGTGTTAATTAATTAAAAAATCATACTTTTCAATCAGCTGGATCTATGTTGAACGCTGGAAAGTATTAAATCAAATGTTAAATTGGTAATTTGTTTCGTGAGGGACATAACAACGAAGGCCAGCTGTAGAAATATCTCACCAATGGCGCACATATATTGCTGTATGAGCTACCTATGTCTAGAAACGGTTCACGCACTTCCCGAACAAAGTTTAAGGATTAGATGTGGCAAAATGATCGGGCCAAACTGACGACATAGTGTTGTTTAAGGTAGCGCAAACCATAATTGTTATAAACTATGGCACGTTTTATTGAACTGGATGTCAAGGGTTCACATGCTAGGATGCATAAGTGCCGCATTTGTGACAAAACATTGCATCGCTGTTCGCGTATGATATCGCCATTCGCCAAATATTGGGGCACTGGTTAGTTGCGCGATGTCGCAAATCTTTGCGATCGGGAGCAATTTTTGCTCTAGTCTGTGGTTCGAGGGCTAAGAGTTCTGAGTTTCGTCTCTGTACGGCAATGTGATGTTCCGTATTATCACTGAGCATACATGTAAAGGATGATTCTTCTGACGTCTGGAATTTACAACCCGTCATGTTCCGAGGCTTGAAGTAGCGATTCCTGGAACAGAAATCAAATCACCTGAAATGGCTGAATCTCACCTGCAGCTATATGCATGGGTATGTAAGGTGTATGTTGTCACCGTGTATGGGAGATTGTGCATCTCCAGTGCATAGTTTTCTTTGGGGGATATTTTGCTCTATCTGGGCATAACCACAGTCCAAAAGTATCTTTGTCACAAGCCACAACTCCTCAAATTGTGATTGACCAGCCAACAAGGTTATTGGGCCTGATATGATCCTGCCTCAAGTGGGGCAACTAGCTCTCTGCTTGGGTCAGGGGCCACTTATATTAACATTGGAAGAGGGGTCTCCAATGTTTTCCTTTTCCACTTCGCCTGCACCGACTGCTGATGACCTCTAGTTTTCTGTTTAAGAAGGGCTAAATCCCACAAAATTGTGCTGTCCAATGTCATGTATTGCACTTGCTTTCAAATAATTTGCAGGATGCAAAAGTGATAAGACATGTTGTGATGCAAATGATGGAAGTTTTGAAGTAGCCATGCTAAATACCATATATAGTGTATGCATGTTTATATATGGTGTATATATGGTGTATGCATGTTTACGGATTGTTAATTTGTTCAGTATGGGCAGCCAAAGTTGGCACAAGCAAAAAGTGCTATGCTTGCACATTCAAGCACTTGAATTTTATTTGTGGATTTCTGCCACTAGATGCTGTGGGAATAGTTGCATGATAGACTGGACAGAATAAGATGCCAGCAATTAAGGCAACTGTGATGCACTTGAGACATGTCTGGCTTATGTGGTCTTTGGGCTGCCCAGCTCATGTTGATTATTGCTTCTTTGTTTCTGCTTTCACTACAGTATATTCTGAGGTTCCACCTAACCTTTGCCCTAGTTCAGCACCTGCTCCAAGGTGCCAGGGCCACTCTCAAATATTGTCAGCAGCCCTATTTAAGGAATCCCTGCCCCAAGATTACCAAAACCTGTCACAACTATGATTTCTTGTCTGAACCCTGCCCCTATGATATCTTTTCAAAGTCTGTCATGTTGTGCAGGCTGAATCACTGGTGGAATATGTGGCAGGGGTGTAGTTTCCTATTCAGCTTAGGGGGGGGGGGGAGGGAGAACTTGGGGGCTCCAGCACTTTTAACTGGGGCTGTGGCTACTCCCCCCACTTTGAAAATAAAGTGAACCAAATCCATAGGGTGACCCATTGGTGGGCAAAGTTGAGTGCAGGTTACACCATTTTTTTTTTTTGCTGCCTAGCCCCAAACTGATTTTGTGAAACAATGCCCCTGGTCTGTAGAATCATTTTGTGTTTGATGCATGTTTGATTTTTGTTAAGAATGTGTGATGAAGTCAACTTTTTGTGTCTGAGATGCCAAAGTGTACCAAACGAGGCACAAACTCTCTTTATTGCTATTTCTGGTAACTCTGATGATCAAAAAGCATCTGTCTTATTTCAGGGGGCTAATTCACACATGCAGACAGGCACTGGCCTGGCGGACCGTTTGAACAGCTGCTAGAGGCCCGTCCGCAGTTCCTCTCCACAACATAGAACCCAATAGACAGCAGCATCATCGACACCGTGCTCTCGTCTGCCACGGACCGCGCCTCATCGGCGGATAGCAGAGCCACCTCACCTGCAGATGGCAGCACCCTTGCATCGCTAGATGGCAGCACCGAGCTGTTGCCGGAGCACGCCAGCGTGGCAGTGACTGGCGGCGGCGGCCACTCCCTGCTGCTGCTCGCCGGCCGGGTCTTCTCGTGCGGCCTCAACGACAGCGGTCAGCTGGCGCGGCCGTCGGAGGGCGTCGCCGATGGTCTCTTCAGGCCGGTGGACGTCGGTGAGCGTCCCTGGCCGGCGGAGGCACCGTCGGTCCGTCAGAGGCACTATTGGGCCGTCAGAGGCACTGCCGGACCGTCAGAGGCGCTGCCGGGTCGTCAGAGGCACCGTCGGACCGCCAGGGGCACCACCTGCCTCTTTTTGGTTGCTCTGATCAAACTGATATTCCTTGCTATATGGTTTGGATGAGTGTTTTTCACTGTTTTTCACACAAATTGCTCTAGAGTGAAAGATCACGAACCCCGCGTGACCCGACGTGTGAGCCCCGTGTGACCCGACCCAATGTGGCCTGACCCAGGTTAGCCAGACACAGCGTGACCTGACCCAGCGTGACCCGACCCAGCGTGGCATGACCCAGGGTGACCCGACCCAGCGTGACGTGACCCAGCGTGACCCGACCCAGCGTGACCTGACCCACACCGCCAGGTGAGCGGGTGGTGGCGGTGGCGTGTGGCTGGGACCACAGCCTGCTCCTGACGGCCGCCGGCAGCGTGTACAGCGCCGGCAGCAACAGGTTCGGCCAGTGCGGCCTGGACCAGAGCCACAGTGAGTCGGCCGTCGGTCGGCGGCTCGTCCGGCGCGCGCCGCCTCACACAGAGCTGGCCGTACAGAGGTCCGTTGTCGGCGGCTCGTCCGGCGCGCGCCGCCTCACACAGAGCTGGCCGTACAGAGGTCCGTTGTCGGCGGCTCGTCCGGCGCGCGCCGCCTCACACAGAGCTGGCCGTACAGAGATCCGCTGTCGGCTGCCCATGGACTTTAGGCTCGGCGCGTGGTGGAATGCCCCATTCCCGGGACATCACTGGCGACTGTGTCTGTGTTCACGAGCGGGTGTAGCCTTAGACGGGAGTCAGACCACCTCGCCGGAGATCTCTTTGTGTTGATTCTCCTAGGAGAATCGTGATCCCTGCCACAGACGCTGTCAATGGTGGTGGTGATGGTGCCGCTCTGCAAAGAAAGTACCTGTTGCGTACAAGCCGATCTTTCCCTAGTTAGTGGATGAGTTCTCCTTTCCGTATTGGGCAGCGCTGTATTCCTGCCGAATAGAGACTCTATACCGTGTGTGGTTCAGGTTTGTTCTCAATACCGAATGGATTTCACCTTGATCCCATTTTGTAGCAAATACTTTGCGATCTGGCGTGTAAAGAATGTGAGGTGTCGGAACAGGTCAGCTGACTTGACAATTTTCTAGTCTGGTATGCTGCTCACCATCCCCTTCTACGGACAAGGTCCATTTCCCGTCACCGTTCTCGTACTTCCTCGCGCTGGTATCGAAAAGTTAAACGCAGTGTTGTGCTGCACGGTCTCATCCCGTGGTCGCACCCTAGCCCAGTACATGCTGCTCCCGCCCAATGTCTTCAGCTGTGCCTTGCAGGCCTCCGCGCGGGGTGCGCTGCTCCCCTCCCCGCCGCACCGTGCCCCTCTCCCCCTTCTCCCCGCCATACCGTGCCTCCCTCTCTGGCAGAGTGTGTCTCTGACCCGGTGCGGCTGCCGCTGACGGGCGTGTGCCGGGTGGCGGCCGGTCTCCGGCACTCGGCCGCCGTCACCGCCGATGGCTGCCTCCACCTCTGGGGCGACAACAGCCGAGGACAGACCGGTGCGTACAGCCCGGCGCGCGACAGATGGCAGCACCGGTATGACACGTGGAACGAGATGTCCCTTTTTGTTGTTTTTTTTTTGTCGTCTTGTGTTTGCTTTTGACCTTTCCTATAAGTATTTCTGTTTTTATTGTGATTTACTAGTCTGTTGACGTTTTGTCATCATCTTTTGATATTGCGATGGATTATAGTTGTTCTGTATCACTATCTGCAAAACGTTAAGGCCGTTATTTTCGTGAGTACACCTGCGCTGTGTGCTTGTGTCCAGGCGCGGCCCCGGACCGGGTAATCTGGTCGCCTCGTCGGCTGGCCGGCGCGTCGGCGGTGCGGGAGGTGGCCTGCGGCCAGCGGCACACCATGCTTATCTCGGAGAAGGATGGCCGACGCCGGCTATACGGTCAGCCGGAGTGACCCCCGCCCCACCCCCGCGCCCCCCCCCCCCCCCCCCCCCAGGGGTCACGAGCA